TAACCGATCCCTCATGCGGGACCCGTGGACCTTGTTACCTACATCACAGACTAGCCTCGACCGAAACATAACGTAATAAATAAACAACACTTATCTATTTCTGTAAGGAGAAATTTCGGTTTAGTAAGGACTTTTCTTGCGGCAGGAAAGATTTTAGCTTAGCAAAAGGTTAGGAAAGAGACCTTTCTTATGGTAGGAAGACTTTTCTCGTGGCGGAATTATTTTAATTCGGAGAGACCTTTCTCACGGTAGGAAGACTTTTTTCGTGGCGGAAATAATTTCGGTTCGGAAAGAGACCTTACAGTAGAGCAGAGCAACGATAAATTCTACCACTTATATACTGAAAATAAAAACGCGTAAATATAGGCCTATTATACACGTGAAGGTACAAGGTATGCCGTCACAAAAATTTTTTCAACCAGTAAAAATGTTTGTATTGTGGTTATGATTTCACTTAAGCAACAAATTACTCAAATGTCAGAGCCTAACACTACACAAAATACGATTCTCATTCCGCCAATCTTTGTTATAAAGGTGAGTTGTCCCTTTTTATGTCGACTATAGCACGCAAAATATCCTAGAATGCTTTGTAACTTCCGATTTGTAGAGTACTGGCTAAATACCAGCTTTCAGGATTGGTCTGTTGAGTCGTTCGACATATTTTGGATCCAACAAAATCCAACTCTCTATCAAAGGCAAGATCGAGCCCATACTTCGTTAGTTTCCGAGTTGAAAATTCTCTCTAAAGCATCTGATCAAAGGGTGGTAGAAAAAGCGTTGTTGTTACGTAAATTATTAAAGGTTAGTTCATTGTGAAAGAAGGAATGTCAGGCAAGACTGTTTGTCAACTTTTAACTACGCCCCTCGGTGCTTCCGAGGAAGGGTTGGGTGCTTCCTAACCTGATGGGGAAGAGAAGCGTGATGGCTTCACTTATTGTGATTCTTTCGCGTGTTTATGTTGACCGGGAGTACTACGCCCCTCGGTGCTTCCGAGGAAGGGTTGGGTGCTTCCTAACCTGATGGGGAAGAGAAGCGCGATGGCTTCACTCACTACGTGATTCTTTCGCGTGTACACCCTGCTTGCAGATATGCACAAAAGATAATACTGTGGATTTTTTAAAGTTCTTACTGCTTTTACTATCTTTTTTACATTGTAAGAAATCTGCAGAAATTATTGATATTATCTGGGACCGGAGCAAAGAAATAGCGGATTCAAAAGTTCGTTTAATGCTGAGTGAATTGCTAACCAAGGTGATTCGAAGTTGAGGTGATGTTATTATAAATGTTACAATTATTTGCTTACTATTTTGTTTTCTTAAATTTTCAGACGAAAATTAAGACAAATATTATCAGTGAAATTGGAGATTTAGGAAGCAAAAGGTATTTCTTTAAAGGTCACGTGAGTTTTTTTCTGAAAGTCATATCTAACTTTAATTCCGTTCATATAAAGTTCTCCTTATGCAATATCAGTGGTGCAACCTCAAAATGAAAAGAATCGCAACAAGCACGCTATAAGAGAAGACAGCCAGTCGGATGATCTGTTCGAAAAAATAAATGAAGATGACGAGGAATTTCTTGAAAATGTTGGACTTCTATTTAATGAGTTAAATGAGCAGTCAATTATCGAGAAAGTTGATGAGAATTCGCTATTTGACGAAGTTCGATTGCCATCAGTAAACATTAATAACAAAACATCAGAGGTAAATCTTGTTGTTATAAATATTTTATGAATAAGTATTTAACAAATTTATTATTCTATTATCAATAGGAGTTCCTTGATACAAATACAATCGAGGCATTTATCGAATATCAAAAAAAGATAACAAAAACTCGTAAGGCTTTGACGTAAGTTTAGAACCATCATTATAAACGCAATTTCATCCTGCTTATTAATATTCTATACATGCTATTCATTAGCCCTGCGTATTGGGAATATTGGATTTGACGAATGAGAGTCTCAAAAACTCAGGGATAAAGGATATGGATATACAAAAATTATCTCAGGATTTTTCAAACAAAATCGGATGGAATGATATTACAGCCCCAAAAGAAATTCAAGAATATTTCGACAGAAATTGTGTTGATGTCGATAATATCGATGTCATAAAAAAATTAGACAGGAACGTCCAATTCATGTATGTATATTAATGAATACATTGTGTAAATTATTTTGTTATTCGAGGTTCCTATTTATATATTAATTAGGGTAGATAAATTGCCTAAGCTACGAAAGACGTGCACCGAAGAAGAGCTAAAAATGTCAACAACATTTCCATTGTTTTCAGGAATTTTTAATTCGCCGAATATAAATAATTCTTGGTAAATAGAACATTTTTTTTTTTGAAATTCAATCAATCATTTTACAATTAACAATTATATCAAAATACAGGGGTGAAATTCAAGCAATCTCGACAAATAAAGCACGGAATGAAGAAAAAAATCCCTTCATGAAGACTAGAATCGGACACAAGGTTGACATGAAAGGAACCTTGGTCAGAACGCCGAATAAATTTGAAATAATATATGGCGAAGTTTCCGGTGGTTTGACTTCTTTCGGCTTGCCCGCTTCCTGTAGGAAAAAACAATATGTGGACAAAGTAAAACTTATGGTGATGTTAAGGGATAGTCTGAATCAATTCTTTAAAAACTATTTGCACGTAACAGACGAACAACGTAAAAAGTTAATAGTCTACGGTTGGTTACAAGTTGGTAAGTTTATTCAATGTGATATTTAGTATATATTGAAAAAATATTTTAATATTTTTAATGTCAGGAATTGAGCTAAGCTTTTACGCTATGACTCTGAAAAAGATATACAATTATTTTCGGAACTTATGGATTATGAAATACAAATTAATAATCATTCTCATAGAAGGTAAACAACGTAAATTTTCGGTGGGACTTGATTAATAAAGTTTTGTTCCATAGCTTACTTCGAAAGACAAAAGAAAGGGCTCTGAAAATTTACGACCTTTTTAATGAATTGGGGGATGATAGGATCAAGCGAATTAAGACTTTTACAGCTACAACACTAACTAAATTATCTCAGGATGATATTAATCACGTATTAGCAAAGGTTTCGCTATGAGGCATTGCACTATCGATATTATACTGCGCCACATAGTCATGTGATGTTGTGATCCTGGATCACAATCTATGTAATAAATTCTAAATGATATAAATTGATTATATTAGCAGGTAACCCTCGCAATGCTTCGGGCATCTAGAATTTAATAATTTGATTTTAATAAAATATTGAAATTTTAATTATTTTATAAAAAAAATTTTTTTTTCACAAAAATTTCTGGTTTGTTATGTAAAATATGAATGTCATAAAGTATATCATTATTACTGTATTATCCACAGATATAGTAATGTTATTAAGTATATAATTACATGATCAATTCATTCATTTATATTTCCACATGTATATTTATTTACAAATATTTATTTATGATTTTATGTAGAGAATTTGCCAGCTAGAAATTTATCGGATATGAGAAATGTGAAATACAGATAAGATTAGATTGTTTAATTCATATTATCCATTTAT